GAGATGCAGAGAGCCGGGGTCACTGGTCCAGGCCATAGAGCTGACACCAGACCACCTGTATGGGGACTGCCTTGAGAGTCAGGGGCCCCTGAGCAGGCCTAAGCCAACCAGATCGTCCTTAAGCTAACTCCATTCTGACTTATGGGGATGCCCTGGATGCACAGTAGAGCCTGGGGTTCTCAAGCTGTGACCTCTCAAAGGAGCCCTGGCAAGAAGTGGTTACCCATTGCACTGCTAACCACAAGGTCAGTAGTTCGAACCCAGCAGCAGCTCCGCGGGGGGAAAATGAGGCTGTCTGCTCCTATAAAGATTTTACAGCCTCAGAAACCCTCAAGGGCAGATCTACTCTGCCCTATAGGGTTGCTATGAGTCAGAATCGACTCAGTGGCAGTGAGCATCAAGTCAATGCCGACTCACAGCAACCCTGCAGGGCAGGGTAGAACTGCACCTGTGGGTTTCCAACACTGCAGCTCTTTAGGGACTAGAAAGCTTCCTCTTTCTCCTGCGGAGCAGCGGGTGGTTTCGAACTGCTGAACTTGTGGGTAACAGCCCAGCGAGGAACCACTACCACACCGGGCTCCCCTGAGGAAGGATCTAAACAAACAACCAAAAAAACTCACTGCCCTAGAATCAAACCTGACTCATCCAATATATAAATAGGATGGGGCTTCAGAGAGTCTGGGAAAAATAAATGAAAGATAACAGGCTTCTCCCACATTTTTCTAAAAATCCACGCCCCCACCCCAGCCCCAGTCCACCAACAGACACCCAAGACCCAAGAGAGCCAAGCCTGTGTCCAGGGAGTTGGGACAAATGCCCTTTCCAGAGCCCAGAAAGCAGGGGAACCTGACATGACTGCCCAACGTGGGGCATCTCTCGCCATGCGTGGATTTTTAGAGCCAGGCAGTTCTGCAGGGGCAGGGAGAGCTCTCCCCCTTTGACGGGCATAGCTACCTGCAGCTGGTCCCTGGGGAGACCTAGCCCCGTTTCGTAAAAGACGGTGAGGTAGTAGGATGCTTTGTGGAAGCCACAGCAGCTGGAGCCCCGCAGCGAGGGAACGATGGAGGAGATCCGACCAAGCCCGGCCGCGCTGGCGAGTCTCTTGACGGCCGTCTCAAACATCTTCCCACCAATTTCTAACATGAATTCGTCCGTGTTTCTTGGCACTGTAAATAACACAATTCAGACTCCACAAAATTAATTACTGCGCGATCGACGCGGCCCTGTGAAGAAGGGGGGAAAGCCAATTAAAGGGTCTGAGTTATTGATACACTGGGCTTGCAGCGCCGGGAGATATACCACCTTCCGGGGAGATAAATTAAACCCTTTGGGGATGCCAGAGTGTCACTCTGTAAATAGCTTCCCCCCACCGCCCCTCTGGCACTAACTGACAACCCGGTGTCCCTGGAGAACGCATGAGCTTTATATAGCAAGGGAGCATCTCCAGGGAGGAATTTACCCGGCAAAACTCACGGCCCAAGCAAGCCCACGGGGACTTCGGTTTCTTTCTGGAACGCTCTGAGAGGAATGGGCTTAACCTCAGAAATAGTTTCTGGATGCGGCCAGAAAAGCTGAGCGAAAGAGCTTGATTCTGAGCTGCTTTGGCCTCACCCACCCTGTCCAGCTGGCCTGTGGGCATCTACACCAAGCCCCCAGCCAAACTGTCACCAAGTCGATGCCAACTCACAGCGCCTGCCCCTGCGGGTTTCTGAGACAGTTGCTCTTTCCGGGAAGAGAAAGCCCTGTCTTTCTCCATCAGAGTGGCTGATGGTATGGAACCACTGACCTTGAGGTTAGCAACCCAGCTCAGAACCTCTACACCACCCTGGAGAGAAACCTGTTTCTTTCCATTGCTTTAAGCTAGATGACACGTTTGGCAAAACCCTTTCACATCACCGTCTCTTTCATCTAGAGCCTGGGACACACCTAAGCCGGGCTTGTTACCTACAGCTGGGTCACCTAAGTCTCAAGTCTTTGGAGATCTGGTCTTGTCTGTAGTAGTCCTTGTCCTCAATGACTCATCGGGTCAAAGAATGCCTGTGTTCTAGTCCACCATGGCACTGTTGCAGATGCACCGTCCCCACAGTCCGTCCTGTCGCGTGGCACGGGTCTCGCGGTGACGTGAGATTGCTCAACGTGGTGCTTCTGGCCATGGCCCCGCCACTCCCACCAAATGACAGGGTGGGATGAGGCAGACAGAGTGTGTGTCATGCCAAGAGGGGGGAGCGTCAGTTTGGGGTGCCACTCCCCAGGTTGTAAGGAAGCAGGGGCAGAGACAGAGGCAAGGAGACCACGAGACAGAACAGAGGGGCAGGGTCCCAACTGTGGGCCTGTGAGACAGAGCAGCATGCAGGTTCCTGGCCCAGGGAGGCAGAGGGACCGTGGCTGAGAGGCAGGCTGAGGACTGAAGGGACAATTGACTGCTGGCTGAGAAAGCATTGCTGTGGACCACTAACTGTCCCCTTAATGCTTTAGGATCCTGACTCGTGTTTTATGATCCTCTGAAGACCCCTAATAAGCCCCCATCGTGGAGAGAATTGTCTGTGAGTTCAATATCCTGGCAGGACGGTTGGTGTCAGAATAGGGGACTAGAGGGTGGTGACATGCCTGCCACCTCTGCTTTGTGACCCTCGGGCCCCAGACAGATGTGGTGAGGAATCTCCTCCGGGGTCTCCTCCTCCTACTGATGCCCAAGGAGGTCACATGCTGCCCCCCCACCCCTGAGCTAGTTTCTTTTTGTTTTTTATTTTAGTAAATCATTTTATTGGAGGTTCTTTCAGCTCTTATAACAATCCATACATCAACTGTATCAAGCACATTTGTACATATGTTGCCATGAACATTTCTAAAACATTTCGTTCCACTTGACCTAACTCTGTCTTTTTTTTTCTAATCGTTTTGTTAGGGGCTCAGACAACTCTTATCACAATCCATGCATACATCAATTGTGTAAAGCACATTTGTACATTCATTGCCCTCATCATTCTCAAAACATTTGCTCTCCACCTAAGCCCCCGGCATCAGGTCCTCATTTTTCCTCCTCCCTCCCTGCTCCCCCCTCCCTCATGAGCCCTTAATAATTTATCAATTATTATTTTGGATATCTTGTCCTGTCCGACGTCTCCCTTCACCACTTTTCTCTTGTCGGTCCCCCAGGGAGGAGGTCACATATAGTTCCTTGTAATCGGTTCCCTCTTTCCAACCCATTCTCCCTCTCCCCTCCCAGTATCGCCACTCACACCACTGGTCCTGAAGAAAGAAAATTATTTAGTACCCCCTAGAAATGAAAAACGGTTGTGCTATATCGACTCTGGATAAAGTGCCTTACTGCAATTTAGACTCAGAGGTAGTGGGGAGGCATTGGGTTACTAAATGCAAGGTCAGCAGTTCTAAACTCCAAGCCACTCGTCAGAAGAAAGATGAGACTCTCTACTCCCAGAAAGACTCAGAGACTCAGGAACTCACAGGGCCAGTTCTGCTCTGTGCCGAGGGTGACTGCTATGAGTCAGATAACGTGCAGGTACTCATTTTGCAGCACCCCACCTCCCCGCGCCAATTGCCCCAGCACTTTCCAGTGTTCAGTATTGCTGATTTGGGAAACAATGCCCTACTGTCCGCAGAGAGAGCATGGTGCTGCCCATCCCCCGAATGCAGACCTGTCATGAAGGGTGATCTGTCTAGTGGCAACGGGCAGCAGTGCATCCCAAGCACAGATGGGAACTTCCAGAGGCAGAAAAGCCAAAACCATCGCCAGCCTGAATCCCAGCTCACACCAAGCCCTTTAGCACAAAGCGGACGTGGTCCGATCAATAAGGAACTGTGGGCATGAAGAAACTTGGGATGGAGACACGTTTGCCGCACTACGGGGAAAATTATTTTCTAAAGCAGAGGCAGAAAATGGCAGCTCCTTGTCCAAAGTCTAATAGAGCAGCTTTTCAGAAAATAAGATCAGACGACGGCGCTTCCCCAGACCTTGTTTAAGAGAAGCTCACATGTTTACATGCCTGGTGCGTGCCTTGTGAATCCTTCTTTCGCAGACAGGATCATTCATCTATGCATCTTCCCCAAAAATACACCTAAAAAAAACGCCCTTCGCTCCCCAGTCCGCCTAGAACACCCACGTATGACCATTCAGCCCCGCATGACCATCCAACCCCGGTAGGATGAAGTAGAACCGACCCTGTTGGTTTCTGAGACTATCAATCTCTACAGGAGAAGAAAGCCTCATCTTTCTCCTGAGGGGCGCTTGGTGGGTTTGAACTGCTGAGCTTGTGGTTAGCAGCCCAGTGCAAAACCCACAAGGTCACTGGGCCCTCTCCCCCAAATGGCAGGGGATGCTATTGTAGATTCTGATCCACAGCTTTCTGGTTTCTGAACGAATCACCTATCATCACAGCCCTCTGATGCTTTCTCACGCTTTAGTGGCGCTTTATCCCATAGCTACACTTTTCTGTCCACTGTCCTCTATTTGAGACTCCGGGGAGTTTCCAGGAGCTCTGTGAGAAGCAGCAACGCAGCTGTGAACAGCCCGTGAGCATGCCTCACTGCCCGTCCACCGGGACCCATCTGGATCAACATCCCCCAGCCCACCAGCAGGCTGGGCATCTCGCTGTGAAGTTTACCCTGGCAGAGCGAGGGAAGACTCCCATCCCACCCAGCCACCAGCCAGCACGAGAACCTTCACAATCCTCAGTAGGCACCGCAGCGCTCCCAGGACATTTCAAAATAAACTCGACTCATAGTTATTCACATATTTACTTTTAAATATGTGCTCGCTCTGTGCAGCCAAGCAACATTAGCATTTTGTTAATGATTCGAGCCTTGCCTCAGCTACTCTGACAGACACCGAGGATGAAGACTGCATTCTGTGTGAGCCCCTGCAGACCCCAGCTTGGTGTGCTCACAGGAGGAGAGAGATTCTGTTTCAAGGGAACCTCCCCGTGAAAGCCTGCCCGCTGCCGACGCCGGCTCGCGACTCCAGAAATCCAGGCAGTCTGATCGCCAGGAAACAGAGCGCCGAGGACCGATGCTTCTCAGGGGGGGGCCCTCTGCACACGCTGCGTGGCCCACTTGACCACAAAGGGAAAGGGCCTCCTGGTATATCCACGAAAATTCCTCATGCCGCCCCAAATATGGCCAGCCGGGATTTTCCCCGAGAAAGAATCGGAACCACTTCCTACAAGAGTGAAAATGAGAAAAACCACCATCGTTCGAAGGTCAAGCAGCACCGGTCTGAACTCCCATGCTGGCGTCAAGTCCACGCCACACGGTCAAACTGGCACGTGGGAACTCTGCCCAGATGAAACTGTTCACGTCGTCCATCTGGTTTGGCATATGCATATATATGGGTGTTTTTTTTTTTTCCTTTCCCTATAGCTGATCTGTAACTAACAGCACGCCTTGTTTCTGGAGACGGATGGTGTAATGAATCCAGAACAAAACTACATGGGAGGAGAGCCCATCTCCCGTTCCCACATCCACGCCCAGCCCCTGAATGACAATCTTCGGGAGTCCCAGGTGGTGCAAACGGCCCCGCAGGCAGGCCTGAGAAGCAGAACAATGGAAGTGTCCGGAGTCCACCCCGAAGTCCCTTGGAAACAAGTCCTGGCGATTAACATTAAACACAGTCCCGAACATTACACACAAACTTGCCGGCATTGAGTCAACGCCGACTCAAAGCGCCCCCACCCTATAGGACGAGATAGAACTGCCCTTGCGAGTTTTCCAGACTGTAACTGTTTACAAGAGTAGACGGCTCGTCTTTCTCCCCCAAAAGGGCTGGGGGTTTTGAACTGCTGACCTTGAGGTTCTCAGCCCAGCGCATAACCACTGTGCCACCACCAGCCATTGGAAACCTGATGGCGCCCACAGCCCCACCTCTGACCCACTCAGCGGCTGTCTCTGGGATTAGGCTCTTGGCTTCCTTTGTCCAAGTTTGAAAGCAGCCCAGCCATCGTTTCTTCTGCTCCCTTTCCTGTGTTCACACTTTCCCCAGGGACGCCCCCCACGAGTTCATCAGGGACAGTAAGGGAGAAAACCAGGGAGGAGGGAGCCTTGGGGCACAGGGGCAGGGGCCGGGCACAGGGGCAGAACTCAGGAGAAAGACGGGGAGTCCTTGGGAGAGGCACAGGCACTTCATGCAGAAAAGGCCCTTGTACTCAGCAGA